CCACTGACTCCTCAATCTACATCTTCACTGACTGCCTGTTTTGTATGCAGCCCAGCCCAGCCCAGCCCAGCCCAGCCCAGCCCAGCCCAGCCCAGCCCAGCCCAGCCCAGCCCAGCCCAGCCCAGCCCAGCCCAGCCCAGCCCAGCCCAGCCCAGCCCAGCCCAGCCCAGCCCAGCCCAGCCCAGCCCAGCCCAGCCCAGCCCAGCCCAGCCCAGCCCAGCCCAGCCCAGCCCAGCCCAGCCCAGCCCAGCCCAGCCCAGCCCAGCCCAGCCCAGCCCAGCCCAGCCCAGCCCAGCCCAGCCCAGCCCAGCCCAGCCCAGCCCAGCCCAGCCCAGCCCAGCCCAGCCCAGCCCAGCCCAGCCCAGCCCAGCCCAGCCCAGCCCAGCCCAGCCCAGCCCAGCCCAGCCCAGCCCAGCCCAGCCCAGCCCAGCCCAGCCCAGCCCAGCCCAGCCCAGCCCAGCCCAGCCCAGCCCAGCCCAGCCCAGCCCAGCCCAGCCCAGCCCAGCCCAGCCCAGCCCAGCCCAGCCCAGCCCAGCCCAGCCCAGCCCAGCCCCTGGCTTCTTTACTTTTCATCCCATCCAGGAAGAGCACACACCAACTGCAGAAACTTCCTCAGCCTGATGAAGGGTTTTTAAACACGAAAGCTTGCTTAAAATTTTTTCCCCCAACTATTTAAGTTGGTCTAATAAAAGATATCAGATTCACCCAAAGAACCTTGTCTGCAAATATTCAATGAAGAATGGACCTCTAAATATTTTTTTTACTGATATGGGTGGAAACGCTGTGTGCTTAATTTGGAAAGAAAGTGTGGCAATATTCACATAATACAATTTGAATCAGCATTTTGAGACCAAGCATGCATCCAAATAGGAGAAACTGTCTGCTCAAGAAAAAGTGAAGAAAGCTGAGGAGACGGTTGCTGCAATGCAGAAAGAGCAAAGTTTTTTCACAAAAGCATTGGCAGCACAGGATGGAATAACGAAAAGAAGTTATGTGATTGCACAAAAAATTGCCAAGAAGAGCAAACTATTCTCTGAAGGAGAATTTGTAAAGGAATGTATGGTCGAGTCTGCGGCAATGTTGTGCCCAGACAAGAAAAAGCAGGTTGAGAACGCTAGCTTGTCGAGGCAGACTATTGCGAGACGTGTCGAAGATCTCTTTCAGACCCTGCACCAGCAGTTGAAAAGTAAGGTAAATGATTTCTCATATTTTTCATTGGCACCCAATCACAGTTGTGATGTCAAAGATACAGCCCAGTTGTTGATTTTCATTCCAGGAATCACTGAAAATTTTGAATTCACAGAAGAATTGGCACTGATGCAGTCAATGAAAGACACAACAACTGGAAAAGATTTATTGGAGGCGGTAAATCAATGCATGTCAAAATTGGGAGTGGACTGGAAAAAAATCGTGAGTGTGACCACCGATGGAAGCCCAAACCTGACAGGTGAACATGTTGGGTTGGTGAAAAGAATTCAAGACCAAGTCAAGGAAACAAATCCAGAACAGAAAATTATTTTTCTACACTGTATTATTCATCAAGAGGTCCTCTGTAAAAGTATTTTAAAACTAAGCACCGTCGTGGACACAGCTACAAAAGTTGTCATTCTAGCAAGAGGATTAAACCACAAGCAATTTGTAACTGCTTGAGAAGTCTGAATCTGAGCGCACAGATGTTTTGTATCATACCGATGTAAAATGGCTTAGACTGGGTAATGTTTTGAAAAGAGGTGGGAACTGAGAGCTGAGAGTGGTTTATTTTTGAACATGAAAGGAAAAGACTTGGATTTCCCACAGCTGAACAATGTGGACTGGCTCTCTGATTTTGCATTTGCTATTGATATCATGAGCTACACGAATGACCTGAATTCATGACTGCAAGGGAAGGGGCTTTTTGCTCATGAATTCCATTCCAGCGTCAAGTCATTTATGATGAAGTTACTCCCTTCCTCCCATCAGATATGGCTGAAATCTTTGTTTCCTTTTCTCACATTGCAGCAGATTTCTGTTTGTGATCAAAACCTAAAAAACTAAATGTCATTACTGGTGGACCTGCATGCTAAATTTTCTCACTGATTCGAGGATTTTTGAATGATAAAAAAGACCTGTTTTTAGTCTCCTCACCTTTCACACATTTGATGCCGACAATGCTCCATGTGACCTCCAACTCGAGCTTATTGACCTGCAGCATGATGCACTGCTTGTGGAGCAATTCAAATCAGTGCGACACTTCCTAGCTTTTGTGCCCCTCTCAATGAACAAAAGTTTCCAAAGATCAAGACTCATGCCCAGAAGACACTTGTGCTGTTTGGATCAACACATGTATATGAGCAGACATTTTCTGTAATAAAAGTCATCGAATCAAATCTGAGATCTTCGACGAGCGATGACCACCTTGAAGCAGTGCTCCGCGTTACGACAACAGAGATGACGCCTGCCTGATTTCCTGGTTAACGCACATCAGAGGTTTCATTCTTTCCATTGAGTTCCTTTGTTTTTCTTTAACTTAATTTTCAATATTATAACAAGGCCTCTTCCTTGTTACTAGACAGCTTGGGATGTTGATGGTTTTCTTGCGCTAATACCTTTTCCACTCTGTGAGGCCCCAACTCCAGAGACAGAGGCATGGCAGGAGTCCAAATGGGATGGAGCTCCCTGCAGAGAGGGCGACTGACTTGAAGGAGAGCCAGAGATGAGTGATCTGGAGGCACGCCTGAGCTAGAGAGACTGGCAGCGGCACACTGCAGAAGCAGATGTGTTCCAAGGCTTTTCGGTTTTATTTTTGGTTGGGAGTCTAAGTAAGCTGCCTAGGATGAAGTAAACCGGTGGCAGGGTATCTTTGTTTGAGAGGGGCCAGCTAAGACCTGAAGTCTGTAGTCCTGAGAAGTGGGCTCAGAGCCAACAGGCACAGCTAACGCAAAAGCGGACAGGGGTGAAGGGAACCCCATCTAGATGAGGGCCAACTAACTAAGAGCCCATTCTTCCCTAGTCAGCTTATTCCATCAAGTTGTGGCAAGTGAGACCACTGGCTGGTACAAGCCAGGGGAGGAACGGGATGCCCAACTGCAAGAGGTTTGAGAGGTCTGCTACACCGCACCTACGCTTCGGGCAGTGTACAGCATACAACAGTAAGACTTTATTTTGAGCAATTATTCAATCGTCTCTACTTACACAACTTTTTAAAATAAAATAAAAATCTTTTATAGTAGATGCTTGATTTATAATATATGATATATTATCTATACTTTGTCGAACTGATTTTTTTTTAAAGACTTTGTGCATGCAGTCCTTGATTCAACTGGTTTGTCTCTGTTCTCAGGAAGGTTCGATACCCCTGAAACTCTCACTAAGTGGTTGAGGGTGATGAGGCACGATGTTAGAGAGGTCACAGCCCCTCACTACCTGATAGGTTGTGCCTGTGCCTCGTGGCCTAGAGGGCAGAGTTCCTGGGGTCCCAGGAGCAGGTCATGCACCGTGAGGGTGGGCCCTGTGGAGGGGCAGTGTTTCTCAGTCCAGAGGTAGACCTTCTGATGTCAGGGATCATGTGGTGGGGGCAAGGGATTCTGGGACCCACATGGCAAGCAGGGCAAGGTTTGGTGTTGGGTGGGTGTGTCTTATGTCATCAACCATGTTATGGGGTGTGACTTCCGGTTCCAAGACCACACCCTCCCTTCCCAAAAGGAGCATGTTCAGGGCAAGGGGAGGCACTTCCAGTGGCAAAAGTTAGGGGGCTGGTCTTCCAGTTCCAAGACAGTGACCAGGGTATGGGGCAACTGTCAAGGGGTGGGGCTACCCATGCGACCCTCAACAGATTCGTTAAGCAGCCTTCCAGTCGAAGTAATTGCCCGCCTCCGGTCTAGGGGGTCCTGTGTCATTTTGTGCCAATGCCGTCTCATGGGCCTAAGCATACTAACGCCGTGTCTGTCAGATAACAAGCCACTTAGGGTCACGCCTTGTGAACAATAAACCTGGCTAAACCTATGCCACCAAACTGAGTCTGGTTGTTTTTTTAAGACAAGACATGTTGGCATCACCTGGAAGTGACCGCAGTCCCTGAGACTTCAAGCCCCACTCCATGCTAATTCCAGCTGGATAGAAACTAGCTATAAAGTTGTTATAGATTTTCCAGTACTAGCTCAGTAGCTGGTTGGTTCTCTTCACAGCTGGGAACTCATTTTTATCACATGATTACAACCTTGCACGTGTGGCCAGTCTAAATTTATTGTGCAGTTGATCAGTAAATTGCAGAAAATATGTAATGTGTGGCAGGGCCCTTCAACACTGACAACACATCCGTAACACCCAATGAGGACAGCAAGAACACCACAGGTTAGCCCTAGTGCCACTGGCAAAGGGAAAGCCCTGCTACTCCCTTATGCTGGTATGTGCCGAAGCCAGCTCCCAGATCCCAGTGTATGGGAGAGGAGAGAGATAGAAGAGCCAAAAATCGCACAGGTCTTCCAAGGTCCTGGTTACACGTTACATGTGTTATGTAATTAGCTTGTGTATTGTGCAAGAAATTTAGACCAACCACATGCGCAAAGGTGTAACCATGTGATACAAATATCTCCCCAGCTCTCAAAAGAGCCAACCAGCTACAGAGGTAGTGCTTGAAAATGTGAACAGCTCTATGGCTGGTTTCTATCCAGCTTTCATTTGAACATGCAGTAGAGCCCTTCTAATAGACCTCCACAGCCATGAAGCTGTAGGTGAGCCCCAATGACTCTGCCCTTGCTGGGAGTGGCCACCATGGACATCACTCTCTGCAAAAAACATAATGGGGACCCTGGGCTGCATCAGGATCCACACCGTAGATGAGGAGGAGGGAACCAACAGTGCCACTTGCTCCAGGGGCTGAGGTTGGCCTTTAGGGGGCTGCCAGGAGAACAGGCAAAGTGATGAATCCATCTCCAACACCACACATGAGCAGACAAGAGTTTTCCGATAACAGGCAGTGCCTTCTGCTTGCTGCTGGAAAGGGCAACACCGTTGCCTCTTACCTGCCCCTCTCGGACGGCCTCGTTTGGGGAAGCAGCTCAAGGAAGTTTCATCTGCTGATGAGTCCCAGGTTTCCTCTGTGTCGGGGGAATCTGCAGCAGGACAGACGCCTGGAGTTAATTGTAAATAAAAACCAGCCTGAAGTCACTAGAAAAAACCCACTGCCTGGACACACACACCAGCCTGTTCTTGGGACTGGGACTCTAGCACTGATAATGTTCACGGCAGCACGCAGTGTAATCAGAAAAACTGCTAGCATCCGCTCCCACAAGATCTTGCATTAGCCATGGAATTTTGTTAAAAAGCTACTAGCTGGTTAAAGCTGAGCAAAGCTGCTGCAAGTTTTGTCCAAACAGAAACACTGCCAATGACAGGCAAGAAGAGATAAGGAAGGCCTGCTGGTCTCGAGGCATTTCCGTAGACAGGGTTTTAGAAAAAGACCCACTGGTGAAAACTCAATGATACAAATAACCTGTAAATGGCCAGCAGCAGCAGCAATCATCATGGTGAAAACGATAAATATCCAAGTAACAAGAGGCATAAATCAGTTTGGAAACAAAAGGTCAGTGGACTACTAGATGGCTGGCATAGTCGGCGAAAGGGGGGTCGGGGGCTAACGGGGCTTAGCTTTGCCAAACGGAGGGCAGTGGTAGGGCCGTAAGGCAGCCTGGCCGCGGGCTTCTGGTGGCTGCAGCAGGGTTGGGGAGCGGCGCGCAGGCAGCAGGGAGGGAGGGAGGGAGTGGGGCTGGGGCAGGCGCTGCACAGCTGGGGCAGGAAGCAGGACTGAGCTGCAATAGACTCATGCGGGGGGCACGGCTCCTGCTGCTACGCGCACCCCAGGAGGCATGGGGGGGGTGTACCCCCAATGTGTGCAGGGCAAGGCAGACCGCACTGCACTTGGGGTGGGCAGCAGCACTGGGAGAGGGACAACAGGGCGGGGGGAGGGAGGGGGCTGCAGCCACCCCAAAATTTGCTGTAGCCCCATCAGCCCCACCTCCCAGGACCACTGTCTCCCATCCTGAGTACATTGCAGCCCAACCCCCCTGGCGGGAAGAGCCCTACACAGCCCCAGCCCACAGCGGCAGCCTGCCCCGCCCCGCGCAGATCCTGGGCACATGCCCCCCTGTGCCTCCCAGCGTGTATGCAGCAGCGAAAGCCACCACCCCCTCCCCTCACTGGGCACCCCCCAGACAAGCCACTCGTGGCTCCGTCTTGCCCCCTGCCCCGGCTGTGCAGGGCCTGCCCCAGCCCCAGGAACATTCTCTCAACAACCCACTCCCCAACCCCAGGAATTGGGAAAGCATGACAAAGACAAAGGATCTCCCCCTGGGTGCTGCTGTCACCCTGGAGCTGTGACAGAGATCGAGGCCCTGTTACTGCACAGACTCACAGCAAGAGTCCCAGCCCTTCACTCTGGGGGCTGAACAGCCAGGCAGGCACCTGCATCCAGGCCCCTCATTGCCTTTACCCAGGCCCCTGGCACACTACCTGGCTCCTGGTGGGATGGGGGCTCCTCTTTGGGGACACAAGTCAGCTCCTCCTGGGTCCCTGGGGTTTCGCTCCATCTGCCCTTCTCCTGGGAGCCAAGAGGTTCTCTCAATGCCCCAGGTCCCTCCATGTCCAAGGCCACGTCTTGGAGATGCTTGTGCACTGTGACCTGGTGACAAGATAACCATGTTACTGGGTGCTGGGAAAGATGGGGCTGAGAGGGAGCATCCCTAGACACAGAGATGGGAGGCAGCATCAATCGGGGGGGTGTGAAATGCTCTCATCTGGAGCGTCTCAACCTTCGACGCCCCAGCCAAAACTCCTCAGCCAGAGACACTGTTTCGGCACAGGTCTCCACACCATGGCCCCACTCCCAGCTCTGCATCTCCCAGGGCAGGATGGCCAGGAACTGCTCCAGCACCACCAGCTCCAGGGTCTGCTCCTTGCTACAGTGCTGGGGCTCCAGCCAGCGCTGGCAGAGCTTCCTCAGGTGGCTGCAAATGTCCTGCAACCCCTCGGCTGCTTGGGGGCAGACACTCCAGGTCAGGGCAGCTGACCCCCATGCCACATTTGATAGCACAGCCTCAGCACAGAGACACTCACCTGCCAGCGCTGGACAGGCTCCTCTGGCGGTTCCTCCTTGACCTCTTGTGATGCCTCCCATGTCGGGAGGCCTGTTCCTGCCTGGATAACAGGAGGGGCTTTCCCTGTCGTCTCAGCTCCCGCCTTGGCCTTGGGGCCTGATGGATCCTGCTCCCCCATTGATGCCGGAGGATGCATCAGTGCTGGGAAGGGAAGAACTACAGCTGGTGCTGGCTCCAGCTTGGCAGCCATCTAGTCTGCCTCACATGAGCCTGGGCCTGCGCTCCTGCTCTCTCACCCCTCACAAGTGGGGCCGGCCGGCAGTGTCCGAGCTCCTGGCTGCCTGCAGGAAGGAGACAACAGGGTTTTGTTGTGTGATGGGGAAGCCAGGACCATGACCCACTGCTGTGGATCCACAGCCCCTCAGCCAGCTTCAGTACCCTCTGGCCTCACCTTCCCCAAGGAAGGGGCTATGTGGGGGTCCTGCCCCATGCTGACACAGGGCACAGGAAGTGGGACAGATGCCTGAACACTACTCCAAAGCCCAATAGCCCCGACATGATCCCAGGTGCTGGTGCCTCTCACTCCCGACTTACAGCTAACCCCCGCCGCCACCTTGCTGGAGTCCCTCACTCCTGACCTGCAGCTACCTGTCCCGCTAGCCCTGGTGGTGCCCCCTACTTCCAACGAGTAGCCCCCTGCCCCCCACCCTGCCTCTGCCACTCACTCCTGAAACGCACTGCCCTGCCCCAACAGCTATGCCAGTGCACTTCACTCCCAACCAGCAGCCCTTTGTCCCCTCAACCCCGCTGGTGCCCCTCAATCCCAACCCACAGCTCCCTGTCCCCCTCCCGCCCTGAGCGTGCTCACTTCCAACCCACATCTCCTTGGCTTCCCAAACCTGCCAGTGACCATTACTCCCAACCCAGAGCTCCCCTGCCGATTCACCCATACTGGTGCCCCTCACTCCTGACCTGCAGCCCCCTGCCCTCCCAGTGCCCTTCACTACCAAACCACAGCCTTCTTGCTCCTCCTCCCACCAGGCCTTGGCCTAAGTCTGGAGAGAAAAAACCCAGTGTGCTGGCTTGACATGGAGGCATCATCATGCCCTGCCTGAAGCTCCACCTGCTGCCCTGCCAACACACCTGGCTGCAGCTCCCTGGAGGAGAACTGCTTTGAGATGCAGTTCCAGGGAAGGGAGAGCAAGACAGCAGTATGGCAGGGGCAGAGTCTGGCTGGGCTGGGGCAGCGCAGACCCCCTTCTCCCCCACCCAACTCCAGGGAGCACGTACAGTGAAGCTCAGCTGCACTGCCCCTGCCCCAGGCACTGCCAGGCAGCCTTGGGGCTCCTCCATACCCTTGCTATCTTTGTGGCCTCCACTGGTACAAAGTCCTGCGCTTGGGACAAAGAAATCCCATGCACCAGTACAGGCTGGGCACCGACTGGCTAAGCAGCAGCTCTGCACAAAAGGACCTGGGGGTGACAGTGGACAATGAGCTGAATAGGAGCCAACAGGGTGCCCTTGTGAAGAACGTTAACAGCACCCTGGGGTGCATTAGTAGGAGCTTTGCCAGCAGTTGGAGGGAAGCAATTCTTCACCTCTGTTTGCCACTGGTGAGGGCACATCTGGAGTTCTCTGTCCAGCTCTGGGACCCCCACTACACAAAGGACACGGACACACTGGAGAAAATCCAGTGGAGGGCAATGAAAATGGTTTGGGGGCTGGGGAGCAGGACTGATGTGAAGAGGCTGAGGGAACTGGGCTGGCTTAGTTTGGAGAAGAGAAGACCGAGCGGGGACTGGATAGCGGCCTTCAACTCCCTGAAGGGGGGCTCAAAAAGTATGGAGCTGGACTGTTCTCAGTGGCGGCCGATGACAGAACAAGGAGCAGCAGGCTCCAGGTGCTGCAAGGGAAGCTGAGGTTGGATATCAGGAAAAACTCTCTCAGGATGAAGTTAGTAAAACACTGGAACAGGTTACCCAGGGAGGAGGTGGGATCTCCATCCTTGGAGGTTTTTAAGACCCAGCTAGACAAAGCCTTGGCTGGGAGGATGTAGCTGGGAATGATCCTGCTTGGAGCAGGGGTTGGACTAGATGTGACCTCCTGAGGTCCCTTCCCACCCTCATTTTCTAGGATGTCTGGCCCTGGTCTCTGCAGGAAAGAGTTTTTTGGAAGTACCGGTTGTCACAATGTCTACAGGCTATAGGTTAACCCATCAATCTCGCTCTCCCTCTCTCCCTATCCGTCTCAATCTCTTTCTTAATCCTTCTCCTTCAATCTCTTTTCTCTCTCTCTCTCTCTCTCCCCCCCTCATGTTGCTGACAGATGGGGGGGAAAAAAGAACTGTGCTTTACCAGAAGAGGAAGCTCAATACTTCGACCTGGCTCCTCAGCGTCTGTATAGATTGCATGGTTCAGCGGGGCTTTTTGGTGCTTTTATCTAATAGCTGATTCAATCAGCTGTTAGATAAAAGCACCAAAAAGCCTCACTGAAGTGCCCAATCTATATAAACACTGGGCGAGCTGGGTCCAAGTAACTTCTGGGCATGCGCTGCACTTGGCTCAGGGGCACCCTGAGCTGAAAGTAAAGCGCCATTTTTTCCACCCCCCACGTCTGTAAGCAACTTTGGTGCCTCTTTTTCTACCCGTCTCCATCCACCTCTCTCAGTTGTCTCTCCGTCTCTCTCAATCTCTTTGTCTTCATCTAGGGTGCAGACAGAAGTGACGAGTTTCATCCGATCTGGCCGCAGAGAGCAGTCTGTAGCCACGACCGGCTGCAGACTCCTGCAAAAATGGCCGATCCGGGAAAGCGCTGCGTAAGGAGAGTTCAGAGGAAGAGGTTTCAAAACAGACCATCTTCTGTAACTTGTGTCTGCGCTGCCTGCCAGCCTGTCGCTGCTTTCAGAAAGGGAGGGGGGAAGGGGAGCAGAGGGAGTTCAGTCTGGGGGGGTTTCAGCCCCTGCTGCAGGGTTGGGGGGCTGTATTGGAGCACCCCCAAGGTGGGGGGGTGGCTCCAACTCACTCCCCCCTACCCCCCCCCAGGGGGAGAGAGCTCTCCCCCTGCACCCGTGCCCCCTCCCTTCTGGAAACAGAGCAGGGCTGGCAGGGAGGAGGGGCCATTGCTACGGGAAACCGGTGTCAGGCTGCAGCCAGCAGCTCTTCCCCTCCCCCCTGGGCCCAACACTGAACTTCTGTTTGGGGTGGGGGAGGGGAGCGCTGGGCTTCAGCTTCCTGCAAGGCCCCAAGCTGCAGCAGGGAGGGGAGCGCCCCACGCCCACAGCCCCCTAGGGGCACCCCCAAAACACACACACACACACACACACACACACACTATCAGGGGGTCAAGCGTGTGCAGGTACACACACATTCCAAATGCGTGCAGAGGTGCCTCCCACTCCTCTTTCTCTTGCACACCCATGCACATTACCTAAGAGTAACCTCCCTGAACACACACATCCACATACACACTTATATCAAGGGTCAAGTGTGTGCAGGCAAATGCATGCACAGAGGCACCCCACTCCTCTTTTGCATACCCATGCACGTTACCTAAGGGTAACCTCCCTGAATGGGCATGCACACAGACACACACTTATATCAGGGGTCAAGGGTGTGCAGGCACACGCATGTTCCAAATGTGTGCACAGGCGCCCCCCCCCACTCCTCTCCCTCTTGCACATCCAAGCACATGACCTAAGAGTAACCTCCCTGAACACACATGCACATGCGTGCATGCACACACACACGCACTCACTCTATTCACAGTGCCTAAGGGAAATTCCCCCGCCCCAAACACACACTTATATCAGGGATAAAAGTTTGTGCAGACACACACACATTCCAAGTGTGCGCATGCAGGCACCCCCTCGCTCTCTTGCACACCCACCACGCACATTACCTAAGAACAACCTCCCCCTGAACACACACACACACACACTGTCTCCCTCCAAACACACATGCATCGGGGTAAATTTCACGGACACTTGTGCGCGCACACACAACACACACACACTCCAAACACAAGTTCATGGCCACAAGTGCACATGTGTACGCACATGCATCTGGGGCAAATTTCACACAGACACTTGCCCCAGCGCGCGCGCACGCACACACCAAACACATATGCATGACTGACACACACACATACACCTGGGGGAAATTTCACACACGTGCGCACACACACTCCGAACACACGTGCCCTCGTGCCAAGCACATGTGTACACACACGCGCGCGCACACACCTCCCCCGGCCGGCGGGCACACGTGCGTGCACGCACACGCACCCCCGCTCCC